GAGACAGTCTTGCTTGTTGCCCAGGCTAGAGTGAGTGCCGTGGCGTCAGCCTAGCTCACAGCAACTCAAACTCCTGGGCTCAGGATCCTGCTGCCTCAGCCTCCCGAGTAGCTGGGACTACAGGCATGCGCCACCTGCCTGCTAATTTTGTATATATATTAGTTGGCCAATTAATTTCTCTCTATTTATAGTAGAGACGGGGTCTCGCTCTTGCTCAGGCTGGTTTCGAACTCCTGAGCTCAAGCAATCCACCCGCCTCGGCCTCCCAGAGTGCTAGGATTATAGGCATGAGCTACCGCCCCGGCCAATTTTTTTTTTTTAAGTAGGCAATTTTATAAAAGTTGTGAACCAAATTTTGGGTAAAGCATTTTTTTTAAGCCAGTCAAATTTAGCAGTGGGGGGTTGAATACTAACTTTAGTCACACTAATGTTAATAAGTTCTGATAACCCATTACATTGGACCAGCCTGGGTAAAGCTTTTGAAACAGTTAACAATATACTGGTTTGGAAAAAGAATAGTTAACTGTGAAAATTTGATTAAGTACGTGAAGGGACCAAAAGATAAGATCTAGCAAGTTCTGTGCAGCATTTTCTTAGACTCAATGCTTTGTCCTTAAGCTAAGAATGTTGCCATTCCTCAGTGCAGAGAGGGTACCCTTTCCATGGGAATTTCATCTTTTGCTTTTAAGAACACCATGAAGTTCAACATGATTTTTTGTATCTGCTGTTTTAAGGTTTTACTTGATTAGTATGCCAGAATAGCTGGTTAGACAAGCTAAAGAAACAAGAGGAATTTTAACACGGAGCACAAAGCTCCAGAGAAGTAAACCTTTCAGCAGCTAGCTTTGTACACAGTATTTTGTACCAAGCAATCTTTGAATCCTGAATGTTTTATCTTGTTGTTTGTTTTTCTTAAACAGAGACAAGGTCTCGCTCTTTCACCCAGGCTAGAGTGCCATGACATAACCAACTCACTGCAGCTTCAAACTCCTGGGCTCAGATGATCCTCCTGCTCAGCCTCTGGGGTAGAGTAGCTGGATCACAACCATGCCTGGCTGAATTAGCATCTTTTGTATGATGGGTCTCGCTATGTTGCCCCGCTGGAATCCAACTCCTGACTTCCAGGAATCCTCTGCTGTTGACCTTCCAAACTGTGGGTATGAGTGAAAGCTTTCATTTCATTTGTTTGATCACTGACATAGTGCAGATTATTTGGAGTCTATGACATTACAGCCACGGTCTTTTAGTTTAGCTTCAAGCCCAACAGATTGAATGATGGATCAATAATATTTTAACATGTCGGTATAAACATGCAATGAGAGCCGCTGTCTGGCATTTGCCTTGCTACTGTGTGTTGTGCATTCCCAAGTGGCTTAGCTCCTGCCCGGGTGTGGTTGGAGTGTGGACCATACCTGGTTTCGGAAGACCCCTCTGTGGAAGGACACAGGTGAGCCGCTGTCCTTGTTTGTTTCCACTTCAAAGCACAGCCAGGTGCTGTTCCTACCTCGGCGGCTGGTTGTGTTGTTAAACTGGTGGTAGAATGTTTCTGCAGATATTCTATCCATGGGGTGTCTGAAGACACAAGAAAGAATCATAAAACCCAGATAGTGTCCCTGGAGTCCAACAGTCTCAGGGCCACTGAACTGAGCTCCCAGCAGGCCCTGGGCACCGGATCTCCCTGAGCCCTGCGCAGCCCTGAGCCCCTGCAGCCTTCCCAGGCAGGAAGCCTGGGGGAGAGGCAGAGATGCCCAGGCCTGAGAAGCAGGAAGGATGGAGAGGAAGAAAGAGCCTTTGGTGACTGGTGTCACGTGGAGCATTCTTGCTGCTTTGGAACAGGAAGATCCTGGGAGCAGAGACCCCACCTGGTCCACTTAGGCCCAAACAGCCAAGGAGTGAGTATACAGACCTGGGCCTCTCTGGGCCTGCCCCTTGGGGGACATTGGAACAGAGATAGCATCACCCTGGACAGGCTGAAGCAGCCAGGGCAGCCCCTGGATCCAGCCCTGGGACCTGTGCCCAGGGACAGCACCCGCCCAGCAGCCCTGGGGACAGAGGGAGAGTGAGGAGCTAGGTGTGTCGCCTCCCAGGCCTTCAGACTCAGAGGGCTGGGAAGGGAGGCAGGAGCAGCGGGGTTTGGGCCCCAGGTGTCCTCAAGGGTGCCATGCCTGCTCCCACCCTCAAGTCCAGTGGCGTTTCTGTCTTCTGCATCTGCTTGCCTGGAGCTGCACCTGTCCGGCTGAGCCCCTGCTTCCTCTAGTCCCCATGCCACGTCCACAGCACTGGGTGTCCCAGGCCACTGTGTTGGGACCCTGCCCACAGCGGCTCACAGCTGCTCAGCTGGAGTTTGCTCCTGTGGTCCTCGGCCCAGGAGCTCACTTCCCGCCTCCCCTGAGGCCTGAGCTGCCGTTGCCTGGCCTCCCTGATGCCCGGCTGCCTCCTCCTTTCTCTCCTGCTTTCTGGAAAGGCTCTGAGGATCTCCATGCCCCCGTGTCCCCCAAAGCTGCTTTTTATCCTTTTTATTGAAACGTGAGCTGACCCACTGAGTGTCTCTCTCTGGGCATTCTAGCCCAGCCCGAGGCTCGTCCTCGCCCAGGTCCACCTCGGGACTTGGACAGGGGGACAGGGAGGGAGGGCCAGAGCGATGGGGGAGCCATGGGGGTGCGAAGGGGGCCAAGGACCGATGGGGGCTGTGCGGGCCAGGTCAGGAGCCACCTGGGTGGTGGACACAGGGAGCAGTGGCCCCCGCACTGCCCAGCCAGGCTCCACCCCAGAGTCCCACAGTCACTGTCATGGGCTGAGCTGTCCCCACCCGACGTTGGGCTGTGGGAGCCCTGAGCCCACACTGGAGAGTGCGGGTATTTGGAGACAGGCCCCCTAAGGAGCTGAATCAATGATGGCCAGGCCGCAGCAGGCCCTAGGCCCACATGCCTGGGGATGCGGAAGACCATGGCATTCTGAGGCTCCGGGAGACTCAGGGGTGCAGGGCACAGAGGAAAGACCAGTGAGAACACAGTCCCCATGACCGTCCCTGAGCCGGGGAGACGGAGGCCTCCGAGGACAAACCCTGCCAACCCCGTGATCGCGGACCCTCGGCCTCCAGAACCGCGAGCACACGGGAGCCGGCGTGTCAGCACCTGGTCTGCGGCGTCCCCTGGGACACCCACCCTGCAAAGTCACGTTCATGGGGGGCGCTCATGCCTGCTAGACCCCGTCTTCCCTGGAGGAAGCTTCTCTGAGCTTCTCGGTGTCACCCCCGCACACGCTCCCGCCATCCACGTGCAGTCAGCGACGGATCGGGGACCGTGGCCTGTGGGAAGGAGCCAGGCCAGGGCCTCCAGCTGGGGGTGGAGGTTGGTCCAGAGGGAAGAACAGCCGGTGGGAGGAAGGGCCCAGGAGCAGGAAGCAGGCTTTAGGGCGGGGAGACACCAGGAGCGCCTGGCCCGGGGCAGGAGGAGGCAGGTGGCCGGCTGCAGTGGGTCTGGGCAGGGGGGGAGATCGGAGGGGAAGCAGGGAGGCCAGGGAGCCTGGCGGCTTGTCTGGGGAGCTTCTCACCTGAGGATCCCCTCTAGTGTGGTGACCAGGATCTGCAAGTTTTCATCCAGTCTATCCCAACGCTGGACCCAAGGCGCTCCGCCATTATACACGAAGTTGTCCCAGCAGTGTTCAAATTCTGAGATGAAATAGGCGGAAAGCAGTCAGAGCGTGGCAGGCCTCTCCCTCCTGCCGGATCAGACCGTCCCCTCCTAGGACAGGGTCTCCTGGGTGCCAGTGGGGTCCGGCTGGCTGAAACCTGGCGGGGCTCCTCTGTGCCCCTCACCCCTGCTGGTGTCTAGACCCACAAGTTTGCTGCGGAGTCCCACCGGCAGCTGCACCTCTGATCCCCACTTCTCACCTTCATCATTCATGATGAGCATCTGGGCCCCTTCCTTCTTCATCCTTCGGAGCCCCTGCCGGTGATCTGGGTCCCAGCTGTAGTAGAGGCGGGCAGCAAATATGGTCAGGCTCACGTTCCTGTGCGTGGCCAGAAACTCAGCTACCAGATCCGCACAGTGGGCACAGGGACTCCAGGATGTGAACCAGGTGATCTGGTAGTCCTCGTAGGAGGACAGTATGCCGTGGACCCAAGACAGGAAGCACTCTTCTGTGTGGCAAACGGAATTGAGAAGGACCTGGAGAGGAGGAAGAGGGAAGGGGTGCTCTGGGTGGAGAGGCAGGCCATGCAGGGGAGGGGCAGTGGCGGGAGGGCCCTGGCCAGGAGCCCCAGGGCATTTGGTTCCTGGAGCTTCCTCCTCCATCCCTCCCCTTCTTCTCTTTCACACTCAGTCTTCCCTGGCGACCTCTGGTTCCAAAAAGACGAATACAGAACAAAGAAACAATACATCACGAATATCTTGACCCTGGCAGACTGCAAGGTACTTGGAAATACAGCAAGTAAGCTTTGAAGACCAGGGGAAAACTATAGTATCTTGCAATAAGAGACTTTTTTAAAGTACAATCTGCAATCTTAAAAACTTTTAAAAACCCACAATGGTAAGCACACACGAGAAAGTCAGATGAACAGCCCTGCATGATCAGCGCAGCTCTGTTTGTGAGAGCTGCGTATCCGTCCTTTGTTACGTACGCGCCGCTGGAACCGTGCGAAACTTCTCTTTCCACCCCAAAACTGGCACGAACCGACTCAACTCGCATCAGGCTCCTATATACGGATCAGGTTTTCCCACCACACTTGGCATGCGGGAGAATCCCCAGACGTGCGCTCACCGCAACACCCCATGGCCTTTTCACCCAGGCTTCTTCTAGCAGGGGGAGCACTGAGCAGCACAGCCACTCTGGTTTCGACACGCATAAGGTTACCCTGGAGATAACAGACACACCTCCGGGGAAACATGATTCCGTACATTAACGCTTAGAGACAGGTTAAGTATTCTGTCAGGCTTGATTTTCGGGCTAGTCTCGGCTGATCTCACGATCCCACACACTATCTGACATGAAGGGGCGACGACGCGGAAGGGACGGCCACATTGCTTTAGGCTTGTCCTCTCGTTTTGGTCTATTGCGACTATAAGCGCAGCCTCTTCTACGACCCCTGTTCAATCTCTGAGGACCTTAATGTCAAATTCTACTTCATACCACGGAGGAGTCATCATTTTGGGGTAAAATTGCATCCTAAGGCCCTTCAACTATTTCAAAAGTTTGCTGGGAGGAATATGTGGGGCGGAGCATCAGGGGGGTGTCCCACTTGAGGCGACCAAGGCTGCGAGCGCCAGAGCGGAGACGGTCACCCCACTGCTGCCCTTGCCAGCACCCTCTCTCTCCCCCTAGCTCTGCCTCGACGGAAGGCTGCAGGGCTCCAGGCGCTCCGTGCAGCGACTGCCAGAGAACTGGACCCAGTGTCCAGGGTAGCAAGAAGATCAACTGTCTGAGACTGCAGAGACTCCAGGGGTCACCCCGTATTTTATGTTCTCGTCTCTGCGCGTCTCAGGACCGCCAATAGTACGATGTATCCAAAAACCCATTCCACTACACCTTGAAATAGACCCGCATCCTCTATTCGTCTACACTCCTGGCTGTGCTTTCGAGGCATGAAAAGGAACACTGCCTCCACCTGTCCCTGTGGGTCCTCCGAACACACAGGTACGCGGCTCCACTACTCCAACCACACCCGGCAGCCGACTAAGCCCACTTGCGCGAATGCACAACTACCCCAGTACGGCCCAGGCCAATAGCAGACATGCGTCTACTCATTGCATGTCTTCGTCCCACATTTAAGTTCCTTGGCCGGGGAGACGTTCCTGCTGGCGGCCCTGGCCCCTCGAATGGTCCCGTGAGCGTGACTGGCTAGTGGCGGCCCATGTAGAGCCACTCAGTCACTACCCGGTCGAGCATTCCCAGAGTCTTGTAACCTGCGAGCTTGGCATCCAGCGCAGGCTGCAGTGACAGGGGGGGCCACTGGTGGCAGCAGTTGGTGTTCCTGGTTCACTGCTGGCCTGCACTGGGCCCCCCCAATAGGCTGATGCGTGATCATCCCCACATAGTGACCCGTCCGCACCATCATAGCCCTGGCAATCGCTCCAGCCACGCCCTGCCTCGCTCACCCAGGCCCAGAGCCCCGCCAGGGGTGGTCGTGTTGGGCGCGGATGTGGGGGGGGCGGACAGGCTGGCCTAACAGCAGTGCGTCAGCCCAATGGGACCATCGCGGACAGAATCTGCATCACGAGTCCCCAGTCCCGACAAATGAGAGGGCCCGCCGTAGGCAACCACACCGCGACACACGAAGACATGAACCGCCTGCGTACGCTGCAACGCCTGCCGACCGCTCCCTCGGGGCGGGGTCCTGGGGCGCCCTCAGGAGACACCATGATCGCCTCTCCTTCTCCCGCTGCACTTCCTCGGGCCAGCGTCTGATTAAGCAGCCACATGGGCATGGGCTCAGGGCGGCCCACCCGTGGCATGCCCCGCAGGGTGGGTGCACCCCACAGCCGTCCCCAGCAGGGCAGCAGCAGGACACCAGCCCAGCCCAGACGCCAGCGCCGTGGGCTGGCGGGCTCAGGGTGCCTGCTGGATGGACGGAGCGACGGCTGGCCCAGCCAGGGCATGGGGCCATGGGTCCGTGGGCGG